CCCCCCCCCCCCCCCCCCCCGGTGGGGCAGCCCGGCCCCTTTTCCAGCCCCCTCCCCAATTCCTCACCCTCCGAGGGGCGGCTTCTCTCTCTCTTTCTCTCTCCCTCCCCCCCGCCCTCCAAGCGACGCCAAGGAAGACGCGCAAAGGAGGGTGGGAAAAGGGGGCGGGGCAGAAAGGAAGGAAGGGAGAGGCCGGCCAGGCGATAGAGGTAGAGAAGAGAGCGCTCGCTCGCGGCGCACCGCCACTTCCGGTTCCTTTTGGAACCTCCACCCCCACTTCTCCAAAAGAAAAAAAAACAAAACAACCAGCAGCCTGATCCACGCGTGACCTTTATGGACGCCTCCGTCTTTTTCTCCCCCGTCGTTTCGCTGCCATTAAAATCATACGCAGCTCCCGTTGGCACGCAAGCCGTTGGCACGCTCCCTCTGCGCCGTTGCACTCGCTCCTAAGGAGGAAAAACCCGCAAACGTCCCGGTTCCCTCCGCTTCTTTCTTAGTTCCCCGGAGCTGCGGGCATGGGGGGAAAAACTCTCGGAGCGGCTGTTGCACGATTAGCATCTCCGTTTGGCTAGCTGGCACACCCCTTTCCACGCTTTGCCCCGCACGATCGCTTGACAACCGGAAGCGCGCGTGTCGCTCGGTGAGGGAGGAAAGGCAAGTAAAGGCCGCACGGCCCCCTGCCGGCGGGAAAGGGGAATCCACCAATAAATAGCTGGTTGCTATGGTGATTCAGGCCTAGTCGCTCAGGCTTAAGCCTGCTTGCGAAGAGCAAAACAATAATAACAAACTCCCCTGGACTGTTTTATTTCATGCCCGGTCGTTGTTATATACGGAAAACAATTGAGTCCCAAAGCCACGGAAATATATTGCAACTATGACAACCAACCTCTCTTGCAATTCAGAAAGAAGGTGCAGCCTTCCAGTATTGCTAAACTACAACTCCCAGCAGCGCCCACTGCAAGCAAAGCATTCCAGAGGTGGCAGCACAACCACATTTGGAGAGCTGTTGGATCTCATTTTGCTAAGAAAACAAGTATGACGATGGTCATCCAAGGATCAGAAACATGGAAAGCGCCTTCAAGCATCCGGAAAAGGACTACAAGAATTGGGGAGGGGGCCAAGATTGGACTCTGGGGATCCAGCTGTTGCACAGGGAGGGTGCCGAGAATGGAAGAGGATCTTTAGGGGCATATCGGTGGCCTTGAATGATGGCAAGTTAGAACATGTTAGCCAAGGTGGAATGGATCAAATTCTTTATTAGCATGCACGAAATGATCAAAAATTCAGGGGGATTTTACAAAATACTGAACTCCACCATTTCTCTCTTAGTCTACACTTAGCAGGTCAACAAACTCAAAGGTTTTTTTGAAACCATATGCATTGTCCATCTCAACATGGTTCCTGAACCATTCCTTCCATCAAAACCACCAATCATACCATCCCATGTGGGCCTTTGAAATTCTTAATCTTTGGTAATCAGAAAAATTGGGCGGTGATGAGTTTTCTTATTTGTCTTTAGCTCTCTCTGCTCAAATTTTGCTCTTTTTTTCAATAAAGCGCAGCACTGCGTCAGGCAACTTCTGGATAATGGTAATTGTAGCAAACTGTAATTGAAACATGGTTTGTTGAAGGAAATTCAATGGCTGGATTCATCCCACATATTTAGTGCAAGGCTGTTAAGCAAGAGAGTGAGTAACACAAAACTATCTTATGAATTTTGGTCAGCAACTTAACTGCCTCTGGCCCCATATATATAAATACATATTTTCCTTCCCCAACACCACAATAAGATGGGAAAAAAACAAGTTTAAGCAGATATTTATTTTTTATTTTACAGCATGCAAATACATTTCAAGTATTGCAAATAGATTCTATTAAGTCTCTCTTGAAACACTGGAAAAAAACAAACAAACAGACCACAATTAGCTAAAGTCTGTGACCAGCCTTAAAGCTAACAATCTCTATTTCAGTGCTACAGCAAACACACATGTATATACTATTCAGGCTAAATCACAAAGCCGGTTCCCATTTTTTCCAACTTTCCCTCCCAAAAATACAGACCGTATGGTCTAAACATCCCTGGTGTAAATCCTATTCCTCTAACACAAAAGGGAAAAAAATAATGGTAATACAATTTGGAGATTTAGAACAGAACAAAATGGAATAGAATTCATTACCCCACCCTGAAATATAATCCCCATTTTGTTTTACAGATATTTTTTTAAATTATATTTTTAAATAGAAGCTGAGAATGCACCATTAAAAATGAGCATTAAATCCATCGTAGCGATGGAATCTGCTTTATTATATATGATGGGTGTACACCATCTTTATCTCATTTACATTTTAATCGAACAATAGATTTGCAAAGAAAATGTCTAATACAGACGTAAGAATATTCACACTTGAGCTTTACAAGCGGTTGTACAATTGACAAAAAAACTGGCCTCTTTTCCCAAACGTTCCAGATTAAGCAGGTTTATAAAATCTTAAATCAACTCAAGGAATCAAAGTCTTTTTTCCCCCTTCCTCTTTCTTTTTAACTTTCAGGGAAAAGAATATATGCAGTATATAGTGTAAATGTGGAAAGTAGATACTGCATGCTAAATTACAATACTCCGGAGTGGCTGTACAGTTGGTCTGTGCAGTAGAAAATAAAGAAACACACGTGTTGTATCACAACTACAGTATAATGGATTTATCCACCTGAAGAAAAGAGAAATGCATGCATTTCCTATGCCTTGGACTAATTGACCGAGAATTCATTAGGGGAGGATTAAGATCTGTGCAAATGAGCTTTGTCCCTGTGTCGGGCACTTGCAAGAGTTCTTTAATGTCAGATTTTTGTCAAGTACAATTAAAAAGTCCATTAAAGCTTTGCAAAAGCATAGTTGCGTGAATGTGTGTGTAGAAAAATTTGGAGATTTAAAAATTTTGGAGGGTATTGTCACATACCCTTTTGACATCTCCTTACTGTAGGAGGTGAACAAGATATCCTGGTCTACAACCCCCTCAGCATATCTGACCAAAGCAAATACACATATTGGCTGGGAATGATGGATTTTGCAGTCTAACACCTCTGGAAGGCACGAACCCGGGCAACTGTACAATGGTGCTGGGACCCTCCCCGTGTAAAAGAAATAACTGAACATTGAAAGAGCTGGCGTTATTTGTCATCACATTCGTAACTGATGACTCTAGTTCAAAGGTCTCCAAACTTGGCAACTTTAAGACTTGTGGACTTCAATGGCCAGAATTCTCCAGCCAGCCTAGCTTAAAGTTGCCAAGTTTGGAGGCCTCTGCGCTAGTCCTTAAGAGATGAGTCTTCCTAAATACAAGGTACTTCAAAGCAAACTTAAACCCTGGGTAGTGCGTGGCTCTCATTCTGCAAAGATGTTCTTTGCAGAGTTTAACTCTGAATTCACAAGATAATAAATACTGGAAAAACATACCTGCTGACAAAAAAACAAAACAAAAACCCAGGTTAAAAAAACGGGCAGCCCCTTTACTTTCTGATTGCATTATGCAGAACCTAGCCAGTGCTGCAGACCAAGCACTGCAAAAACCCTATGATTATTTATTTAAGACGACCTTCACAAGTGGTCTGGATTTCTGTTTAAAAAAAAAAAAAAAAAAAGCTTATCCTCCATTCCTTTGGCTGTTGTGCATTTGCCAGGTGCCCTCTACCTCTCTTCTTTATGTGTCCATATACTTCTGAACTGCTTCTCTGGGCAAATTAAGAAATCCAGCAGGGATGATATATCTGCCGGTTGCAGAGTGTGTTGAAGCACGGCTCAATCACTCACTGCTGGTGGAAAACCTGAGCAGGAGATGCCCTGTAGGTAACTGTCTACTGAAGCATAGCACCAAACAGTTTTGGCAATGTCAAACTTCTCCTTCGATGCTCTAAGGCCTTTACAATACTGATTCTCCCCTTAAGTCTGGGCCAATACAAACAGTGGCCATCCCTCTGTCTTGTTCAAACTCTGCTAACTGAAGGGCTGAATCAGAAGAAAGGCAAATAAACCGGTTTCAACTCTTGTCTGCTCCTACAGTACACGCGTGCGTGTGTGTGGACCTGAGAGCCAAAATTTCTCCTTCATTTCTCAGTAACAGGGCTAACTTCTCTGCTACGGAAGGAGTTAGGTCTTTTTTCCTCCTGGCTCTTCTCACCTGTCCTAGTTCTGCAAACTCAAGAGCCTTAAAACAGACCCTGCTTCTCATCTGGCTGCCCCCACTCTGCCTGCAAAAAGAGAATAAAACAACTGGAGATGCTATTAAGTCACAATAAACAAAAAACAAAAAAAAACCACAGTATCATTGTAAGATGCCAAGGCTGAGTTGAAAAAGCTGGCGTGGAAGATTGGGGCCCTTGCTCAGACTCCAGCTGTTTTCTTTGATCTGCAATTCTCCCGCCATTGCTTTTTTCTTTTTTTAAATCAAGTTCCTATCAGGCGGGCGAGTCCCTTGCTTGCTCCAAACTATTTTTTTTTTAATAAAAAAGTGTATCTTAGATAATTTAGAAAGAAACCCAGCTGAACAGGAGCCTTCTGACCCTGATGCACCAGAGAAAGAGACATGGTACGTAAACAATGGATTGCAAACAGCCAAGTCCTGAGAAAGAAAACATACTTCATTAAAAAGCAACCTATGAAAATCAAAACATGTTAACAACTAAAATACAGACAATCTGACCAGGTAATAAACATTTGATCCTTAGACTGTGCTGACAACTGGTGGCACTGAGCTGTACAAAAGGGCTATTTCCCTTGGGACAAAAATAAGGATCTCTCCAACCTCTCTCTTCTTCTATTTTAATAATAAAATAGCAATGCAGTTTTTTTTTTCTCCTTCTCTTTTTGGAAAAATCATTTTGCCCTCAGTGGGGAAGTTCCCACTGAGTAAGTATCCACATAGGAATGAGATTGTTTTGCATATCTCTCTATCAGGATTCTAGACTCCAAAGTCTAGAACAGCACAAAGAAAATTTCCGGAAGCATTTCAAATGTCATAAATATATATATATATATAAATCCATATATACAAGAATCGCTTGGCTAAATTGAGAATTTGGCCATTGGATGTTTAACAGTCACCAGGTAAAGTGAAGAGATACATAACAAAAATCTTGATTTTCAGTTCCCTGCAATTTAAGAGCCACAGTAGAAAGGAAAATTTTGGGAATTGGGAGGAAACCAAGGAAAAGAAATTTGGCTGCTATAGAAATAGCTTTTTGCACCTCACTATTAAATTAGCAGATTAAAAAAAAACTTTTCACAACATTGCTGGAATTATCAAAACAATTAGTCCTTGTATTTTTCAATCCATATGTACAACGTAATTTTTCAAACGACACGTAGCTCAGAAGTGAGATTTTGTTTTTACCAATGATCCAAGGTAGAGCTGTAGCCCTCAGAGAAATGCCATAATGTTGTAAGTGTAAAAACCATTGTGATACTATAATACCAGCTTTATTGTGCCAACATGATCTTTTTTAAATGTTTTCTTTTGACACCCATTTGATAAAAGGATGAGCCCTTGTGTATAACACACACACCCCAGTGAAAGGGCTGCTTGGCTAAAATATTCCAGTATGATTTCCAGAGTAAACAACTTCACAGAAGTTAATTAACAAACATTTTCTTAAACCAAACCAAACCAAGCACAAAACAAAAAGAAAAAGGAAGAAAAAAAATGTAAAAATTATAAAAAGAAGCTGCCGAGGAGGACCAATAGAAAGAATGTTCTTGCCTGATAGCTTAGTATCTTCTTGCTCTGCAGAAGCAGCCTGATTTTTTTAAAGAGGGAAAAGAGCGCAGCAAAAGAGGTCATGGGGGAGAATGGTCCAATTTTAGAGTTCTATGGTTTAAAAAAAAATAATTCACATTTTAAAGAGGACTTATTTTTCGCCCTGGTTCTGTACAAGCGCAGCTCAAGCTACATCATGAAGTCTTCAAGATATCATCGGAGTTTAAATCACCAACAAATCTAAATGCTGCCATTCTCAGCCAACTCAATATCGGGAGCGTCCCAGGGGCCGTGGGTTTGACCTGCGTCAATTTTGCAGAGGAGAATTGGGGAGGCATTGAATGCCAAGTGGGGAGACAGTCGAGGGGGATAAGGGATGGAGTGCTCTTGCCCACATGTGGGCTGAGCTGTCACGGAATGTCGTGATTCTGCTCACCACTTTAGGCAAGAAAGAACCAAGTACGCAAGTGGAAATACCCAGGTGCTTGGTTTGGCTTTGTTGCCGATAAATTTGTGTACAGGAAAGTCACTCGAGAAGAGGGAAGCTGTAGGGCAGGGTGGCAAGAAGTGACCCACAGAGGAACCAGTTGCAAAGCTTTTAACACCTTGAACTAAATAAGGGCCTTGTGTGTGGCTCGTCCTCACGCCCTCTCTTTTCTCACAAACGCTTCTCCACGCAAAACCCCACCGTGGAAGAAACAAGCAACCTCAAACGAGTGCAAATTCCTTCCTCTTGAAACAAGGACCGCCAAGCAACGTTAACTGTGCTCCTGTGAGCCACAACATTCCCCTGAAATGACTGGCTTTAGTTTTGGATGCTTCCTTCGCAAAAGGCACCACGCAAAATAAGAATGACTTGGGATGTGTGTGTGTGTGTGTGTGTGTGTGTGTCTACAACCTCACTGTGAAGGGGAAACGGCTGGTGCGTGGAAAGTGAACGTCTGAACCAGGCAAAGTTGCTGGCTCTGTCACTTCTCTCTTGCGTTACCCCGAAAGCTAAGACACGAGAAGAGTTTGAGGTATCAAACAAACGTCCGCAGGAAACAAATGGGCCCGATAGGATTTTCTTTCCAAAAAAAAAAAAAAGAGAGAGAGAGAGAGAGAGACAGAGAGAGAGGCAGAGAAAGAAACCGAAACAAAGTTAAACCGCTTCTGGGTATTGTCATCAGCCTGAAAGCCAAGCGCTTCTCACGTGTTCACCATTTTGCTGTTGGCAATCGGTCTCAAAAAGTCACTTTGCCCTTCCACGAGGCCATGGGCTGTTTTGAGGAGAAGGCTGTGCATGCCGGCCGACGTCGTCATGATAGGCAGGGAGATCCTGCTGCCTGTGGAGGGTTCCGTCGGTTGGCTGAAACAGGCCGCGGCCGGCAAGACTCCCTTCCGCTTCTCCCTTGGTGGGTGGGGAAAGCGAAAGAAAACCGGGTCACAGAAGCATCTCTACCTGCCCAGGAAGCTTATTTACCTGTGTTCTATAGAGAGGAAAGAAGAGTTATCAATTCCTAGAGAGGTCTTCTGCTAGCAGAGGTAGGCAGATGACTAGAATCCTTACAAGTACTAAATGAAGACGTCTCTGGAGATCCTCCGTCCTCCAGGTCATGGTTGTCCCAAAGGTGGTTTTTCAAGAGCCAACTGGACTTTCTGGTTTTTTTTTTCTTTGAAGACGTTTCGCTTCTCATCCAAGAAGCTTCTTCCGCTCCTGAAGAAGCTTCTTGGATGAGAAGCGAAACGTTTTTTTAAAAAAACCAGAAAGTCCAGTTGCCTCTTGAAAAAAAGCAACTTTTTCTAACTATTAAATGAAGAACTATTAGATGAAGAGTTTTTACATGGTCTGGAGACCGTCCGACGTGAACATGATGAAGTAAAGACTTCTGAAAATATGTGTGTGTGTGTGTGTGTGTATATATATATATATGTGTATGTGTGT